CCAAACAGAAAAACTTATCGGCCGATGCCGATATTTGAAAAATGGCAAATATCGGCCGAGATATATCGGCCAATATTTGGCATTTTTCAAATATCGGCATCGGCCAAACAGAAAAACTTATCGGCCGATGCCGATATTTGAAAAAAGCCAAATATCGGCCGATATATCAGCATTGGCGATATATCGGTCGAGCACTAGAAATGACGCTCTCTCTCTCTGCAGTGGCACCAATCCCGAGTTCAGGCTCCGGTTCCCAGATCACACGCTCCAACAGCATCCCGGCGAATGACATGGGCTACGAGCTGTACGGCACATCTCCTCTGGGCAGCTCTCTGTCTCTGGCCGACCGACCAAAGAGCATGATGAGATCCGGATCCTTCAGAGAGCCGAGTGAAGACGGTGAGCCATGGAGAATGTTCAGGAACCTGCTCTAACCTAGCCTACTCCTTGATTTGATGCAACATACTTAAATGCTTTATTTTGCTAGTGTTCAAATGCAGATAACAACTCAGACTAACCTTAATGTGTTATCTGATGCTTTTCATGGAGAGTAGAGAGTTTTAATATAACTATAACTTTTCTGTCTTTTAGCGTTTTCTGGTTCAAGAATTTGATGTAGTTTGATCTCATTTTTACTGATAGCTCAATAGCAGTATTGTTTTAGTATTACTTATAACTTTTTTAGTATTTATTCATATTTGAATTAGCTTTTATTTTTAGAATTTAGATTTTTTTTTTTATTGCAGTTCTAGTTTAGTTTAATATTTTTCATACTTAAACTACGGCTACAATTTATTTTAAGGTGTCCTTGTTGCAGTGTAGTTCTACATTTAAGTACTGAGTAATAGTAATTAACTATAATCTTAAATGTTTCTATTTAACTTAATTTTTTTCCAGTTCATTTTAGTAGTTCAAATTAAAGTTAGTTAGTTGCCAAAGAATTATTTAGTTGTTTTTTAGGTTTTTCATTGGATATTTGTATTTGTATTTCATTTCAGCTTTAATTTCAATTGGTGAAAAAACTTTTTAGTCAACAACACTGCTTCATGGCCAAAGAAGATATCTAATAAATACTTGAAAATGAAATGGAGACTTAGCCTATTTCCTATCGTAATGCACATTCCTTGTCTTATTTTGTATAATTCATCAGTGCATGTTATTCTATTCAGCAATCAGGTATAGACGGACATCAGTCAAGTCACTACCTATCTTTTCATGTTAAATATCTTTATTCTTTATTATCTTTATTTCATTTAGAAATAGACCATATTATACAAATAAAATTGGTTGCAAGCAGTTTCTTGTTGACTTCAGTTATAAAGCAAAATACAGCTATGAAACTATGGCTCTATCCTGTATTTGTGTGTAATTTTGCTCTCTTTCTCTCAGTTCATGGATCTGTGCTGTCTCTGGCCTCAAATGCCTCATCCAACTATTCGTCGGTGAGTAGAAACTGATGTAGCATGTTAAAATTCGGTTGGTTTCTGTATTTGAATGGTTTTTGTATATGATTGACACTGAATAGAACACAGAATCTGCTACAGTCGGCTCTTTATTTCCTGAAATTTCTCTTAACAACCAGCCTTTTTTCTCTGTTTCCTGTCCTTGCTCGCTCTTTCTTGGTCTTTATCACCATTTCTGTATCACACACTCTAAGACTGAAGAGAGAATGCAAGGAGAGGTAAGAATTTTCTCATGACAGCTTGTCAGCTTCTCTTTATCCTTTACTTCCTCTTATATTCTGCTATTGCTCAAGAAAAAACAAAACATTCATATTCACTTTTGATAGCAACTCATTCTGCACGATAAATGACACCTAAACAACCAACTATAGTTATTTTTTATGTGACATCATTGCTACTCTAATTGCATTATAGTTAAATGTTAAACCAATTGCTGACCTGTGTTTTGAAAATACCTTGGATTTTTAATGTTTCTAACTCATTCTACCATCTCAGCAAATCCGGATACTGAGGCGTGAGCTGGAGTCATCTCACGATAAAGTGACCAGTCTGACCAACCAACTCTCAGCAAATGTACGTGCAAAACACCACTGCATATTCACAACTGCAGATTTAAAATTGTTACTTTATTGGTATTATTTTAGAGTGATGCATTTCATAATTTCACAATTCATAATTGCATATTACCGTATTGGCCCGAATATAAGACGACCCTGATTATAAATTAATCACATTTCATCATTTTATTTTGTTATTTTGATTGTTTTGATTTAATATTTGTTATTTAATTGTATATCATACAAATTGCATGTTTGTGTCATAGTAGCTATAAGCAAAAGTCTTCATACTTAAAAGTCCATAATATGTTGTCAGAGACACACACGGTCACGTCTATGCCTTCGCCAGCATTTCTACATTCTGACACTTTTCTCAACTTTTCAGTCATCATTGCTTGTTTCCCAGGATTATTAATTAAATAATGAGTGTTACCATGTAATGTTGATTATTGTAATTTACAATATTTCTAGTGTTTTAAATCCAGATCACTTCTCACTGCAAGTTCCCACTAACCCCAGCTGCCTTCAGCTCACCCTGCACTGATCTGCTGCTTCAACACAGCTGGCTTCAGCAATACACTCGCACACTGTGATGACTGTCGAGTCTGGATGGGATTAGATTTCCCAGAGGAGTTTGTGTGATTCGGACAGTATTAAATGGCACCTATTATGTAAAATTCACTTTTGCATGTTGTTTGAAAAAAAAATGTGTGTTGGCAGTGTGTGTACAGTACACAACCACCCTATAATGATAAAAATCCACCCGCTCCTTTTTTTCAATCCCCATAAATTATAAGCAGTGTCTCTGTTTGCAGAATCCATAAAATGTGATGTCACATTTTACAGGCCCCGCCCACGGCTGTTCACGGACACTGCCGTATTAGCAGTGAGCCACACACAATCCACCATGTTTATCTCCACACTAGAGCATTTAAAAGCAGCCTTCAAATAAGAAAAATGTCTTCTTATTAAAGCTACAGAAGTTATTCAATCAAGAGCAGTGAGTGATTTTCTGCTTTTATTTTATTGTTTGGGTCATATTATCAGCATAGACGGCAGTATCTAATATAAACATACGATTTCTTTCCCAGCTGTTTATGTTCACAGACATAACTGACTGTGTTTTTGTAACTTATGTGTGTTTTTAACAAACTTGTATGTATTTGACAGTTTAAGCGCAATAAGACATGAAAGATAACTTAGTTTAGCAGTCACATGCCGTGTGACAGCCGCTTTCTGTGCGTGTGCTTCGGATGTGTGCGCTTAGAAAACACTATATCAGAAGTTTAAACTAATGCGGCTTTAAAACGCATGATTTCAGCATGATAGACATGATAATCAAAACCAAACAGATGTTTTTTGGCAGAGTATCTGAGACGAGCTGTAAAGGCACAGCCCTATTCTGAAAAAGGGGGCGGGGAGAACGAAAACAGTGTGTTTCTGCTTCCACTCAAAATAGGCATTTTCAGAATGATACTGTATAATAAATGATCTGTGGGGTGTTTTGAGCTGGAACTTCAAAGACACATTCTGGGGACACCTGAGACTTATATTACATCTTGTAAAAAGGAGCATAATAGGTGCCCTTTAAAATCACTAATTCTATAAAACACAATTTTACCTAATCACCTCAGGGAAAAGTATTCCTGTCTGAGTAGGGATCTACAGTACAGTGTGTTTTATATGGGTGGAAACAAAAGTGCCCTCATAATCATCTCCAGGGGGCTTTAATGAAACATTTTAATTTCTGATGCTGATCCCAGTGCATATATGAATGTGTGTGTGTGTGTGTGTGTGTGTGTATGGGATGGGATGGAGGGTTGTGACCCTATAGTCCTAACAGCACTGTCTCTCTCTCCCTGGCTGATGCCCTGTCCCGGCCTCTGATGACTGACTGCTGCCTGGGGTTGCTGGCTGTTGCAGGCAGGCCAGGTTTGTTGGACTGTCACTCGCAGCCCCGTCCGTCGCTGTTGCATGTGTCCCCCCGCCCTCAGTGTGGCGCTGACTGATGATGTGGAGTGGAAGTCATTTATGTTTGCTCTGTGGCTTTCAGGTGTCATCTGGCTGGGTGTTGATGATGTCATAGAGTTGATGTTGGGTGCTGTATGAGGGAACCACAAATGCAAACACTGACGTAGTTGTGAATGTGCACTAATTGAGGATTGCTTTTTTATCTGAACAAACCCTTAGCCCAAATTACTTAATTCTGTGTGTAACTTGTATCGCAAAATTTGTGCTTTGCCCTGGAAACCACCCAAAACAACTTAGCAACTACCCAAAACATCCTTGACACACTTGCACTCCCATAGCAACCACCCTAGCAACTCCTTAACAACCACCAAGAACACCCTACCAACCATGTAACAACAGCCATAGCAGCCAATCCGAACACCATAGGAACTACATAGGAACGTGATAAAAACACTTTAGCAAATGCATAGCAACACTACTGTATCAACTACTGAGAATACCAACGCAACACCCTAGCAACCACCCAAAGCCATTGAAATATCATAGCAACCACCTTAGTAACTACCTAGCAACCACCCAAAACACATTTGAAACCACTTAGCAATCGCAAAGAAACCTGCTGGAATCATCCACAACATCCAAACAACCACTTAGCAACCCCTGAGCTGGCAGTAAACACATAACCCTAGTAACCACATAGCAATGCCTTGGCAACTATCCATAACACCCTAACAACCACTTAGAACACCCTAGAAACTCCATGGCAAATCCAATGTACTGATAAACACTAAGAACACCTTAGCAACCGCATATAAATGCCCTAGCAACCACTCAGAACACCCTAGCAGCTGCATAGTAATGTTATTAAAAACATTCAGAACACTTTAGCAAATGCATAGGAAAACACTAATGCACTAGAAACCACATTACAATGACCTGGCAACCATCCATCGCACCCTAGAAAATGCATAACAAACCTTTAGCAACATTCTGCAGCAACTGCCTAGCAACACACTAAATAATCACTCTATAAAAACTTTAGCAACCACATAGAAACACCCTGACAAGCACTGAGAACACGCCTCTGGAAACCACCTAGCAACACACCAATAATCATTCAGAACACCTTAGCAACCACTGAGAACACACTTCTGGAAACCACCTAGCAACACACCAATAACTGCTCCGATCACCTTAGCAACCACATAGGAAAACCCTGGCAACCACTGAGAATACAGGTACACCTTTGGAAACCAACTAGCAACACACCAGTAACCGCTTAGAACACCTTAGCAACCAAATAAAAACACCCTGGCAACCACTGAGAAAACACTTCTGGAAACCACCTAGCAACACGCAAATAACCACTCAGGACACCTTAGCAACCACATAGAAACACTCTGGCAACCACCCACAGCAGCCTAGCTTCACGGTGGCGTTTTTCTTCAGGGAATGTGTGTGTAGTTGCGTATGTGATGCACTAGCATGCTCTGCTGGAGTCACAATGAGTAGCATGATGGATATTGTATTTTTGATCAGGTTTATTCCATCATCTCTCTTTCACACACACTCTCTCCAGTAGTGTGTGTGTCGTCACATGGCAACCTCATGGTTTTGTCCTTTCCAGCCTGCAGCTCGTCCTCTGTTCACCCTCCATTCATCCATCCATTCATCCATTTCCACAGCTGTTCTCGATTCCCGTCCTTTCCCGTCGCTCTTTCCCAGTCCAGATGGAGACACACATGAGAGTGTGTGTGTGTGTGTGTGTGTGTGTGTGTGTGTGTGTGTGTGTAATGATCAAATATGATCAAAGACTATAGAAAGGGACTTTGATATGATGCAGGGCAACAACTCCATAAATGCAGTTATGCCCTATAATTCAAGATATTTGGGCAAAAATGCTCCTGTATGAGTTTTTGTCTCATATTTAAATTATATCATATGACAAGCGACATTTGTCCCAAATTTGATTTTACACAAGACACTAACCTGCACCTATCTCTGTGTCTGCAGGCTAACCTGGTGGCGGCGTTTGAGCAGAGTCTGGCCCTCATGACGGCGCGCCTGCAGAGTCTGTCAGTCACTTCTGAGCAGAAGGTCAGTGTACAGAAACAACATGCTGCAGCTTTACATGTGTTAGATTTGACATTGTATTTGTGCATTTGCCTACTATATAAAAACTATTATTGAAATCATGACATTTAAAATATGTGCGTATGTATGTATTTATGTGTGTATGTATATATATATATATATATATATGTGTGTGTGTGTGTATACAGTATATTTACACATACATGTATAAAACACATAAATACAATTATTTAAAAAAAATTAATTAATGTATAAATATAATAGAATTTAATGTATACAAAAATGTTTTCAACATGAATAATCATCAGAAATGTTTCTTGAGCAAATCAGCATATCTGAATGATTTCTGAAGGATCATGTGACACTGAAGACTGGAGTAATGCTGAAAATTCAGATTTGATCACAGCAATAAATTACATTTTACAAAATATTCAAATGCAAATCAGTTATTTTAAATTTCATTCTTCTGGCTTCTTTCAAAAACTGGTTATACGCAAATTGACTGTTATTAGAATTTTAAATACTAAACAGTTTAATCTGCGAAGTAATGTGAACACTGTAAGTTTGGTTTCTGTGTACTTTCATCAGTAGTAAGTCACAGGGATGCACAAAACACACGAATGGCACCATTTCATTAAAACTGACACCAAAAACAGCCAGAAAAAGGCACTTGTGTTAGGTTTTAACAATGAAGTTTCATGGTTTGTTTGTGAAGAGTTTTCTTTTCAACAGTGGAATCAGATATGATCATGTTTTAACATTCGGTTATGTCTTCGGCTTATCATTTCAGGATTCTGAGCTGCTGGACATGAGGGAAACCATAGAAGTCCTAAAGGTCAAGAACACAGAAGCCCAGTCCATCATTCAAGGGGCCCTCAATGTCCCCGAAACCACACCCAGAGGTTTTTTTTTTAATATGTACATTTATTCCTTTTTGTGCATAAGGCTTTCTTCATGGTTTTTAGACTTTTTTTTAGACTTGATGGAAGTGCGTGCTAAATGAACACTGATTTCCCCCTCAGAGCTGCAGATCGACCGGCAGAACTCGTCAGAGAGCATCTCCAGTCTGAACAGCATCACCAGTCACTCCAGCGCCGGCAGCCTGAAGGAACAGGAGGCCAAGAAGAAGAAGAAGAAGAGCTGGGTGAGGATGGGAACAGTTTTAGATGGTTTAATCTTGGGTTCAGGCTGGTCCAGGCTGCTCGTTTAGCTGATCTAATATGTGTAATGTAGATGGTCTGTTTCAGTGTTGTGATTAAGTATGACTGTGATCTCTTCCCTACGCTTCCCTGCTCCCTATTTCACAGGTCTATGAGGTGAGTCGTTTTCCCAGCCCATCCGCATCCATAACAATCACAGCATACTTGAAACTTCTGAAGAAACAATCAATATCTTCTTTGCCATTATATTATGTGGTCAAAAAGTCTCAGCAAATTAAAATTGTACAGTATAGTCTGAAATGGATGCTTTCAGCTTTAGAAGCTGATGCATTTCAAGGATGAATTTGTGTTTTAGTAGTATGCAATGCAATATACTGTACAATATATTAATAGACATATTGACTGAAAAATTAATGTAACACATGATGTTCCAGGTGTCCTATTACTCTCCATCATTTCATGCATGCTTTAACTGTTTGATATGTGCTTTGTGATTAATACTGTCATAACTAATGCCTGAGATAAGCATTATATTATGAAACTTTACAGGGTGAGCACCTTATTTAATTTAACGTGTTAATTAACTATTTTTGATATACTATTATAGTATTTCTTAATTTTTGAATTAGCATTTGTTGTTATACTTTTCAGTTAATTTAATTTATAATTAATTTCTTATTTTATTTTATTTTAGTAATTTTGTTATGTGCCTTTCTCATTTTTATTAGTTGTTGGGGTTTTTATATTTCTATATAGCTTTAATTTATTATTATTTCAGTGTTATTTTTAGGGTTTTAATACTTCAACTTATTCAGTTTCTTTCAGTTAACTGCCAAAGCAACATGTCCAATTTTATTTTAAGTTTAAATTTCATTTAATGTTTATATTTTATTTTATATTTCATATATTATCTATATATTATATATTTTCATTCGTTACATTGTACTACCAATGCTAATTGAATGCTTTGCTTGAAAATTATGAAGCTTGTTGGATCATTTTAGCTACAATTCATTGTTAAGATGTGCCATCACAAACACATCAAATCATACTGTGTATGCCTCCACTGTGATTGTGTTTTGCTGTTTGCTGCCATTATGAATCCAAACCATTTATACTAACACTGTGAATTCATACTTGTTTGTAAGACTCTCAATATGAAGTAGTCTTTAGTTGAGCGTTGACCCTCATTTCTGCTCTACATATAGCTGAGGAGCTCCTTCAACAAGGCCTTCAGTAAAAAGGGATCCAAAGCACCATACGCAGATATAGAGGAGATCGCAACGCCGGTCACATCCGCCCCATCTTCACCCAAAATCCAACATCATGTGGATAACGCCTCCGCAAAGGCCTCGACTTCAACATCGGGGTAGGAAATGCAATTGTTTATGTTCTTCACAAGATGATTTGAATTATTCAGCGTCCACCTTTCATGGTTGTATGTTTGATGTTGGTATTTACGGCAGATCGTGCGAGGGCCGTGAGGACACTGAGCACGAAGAGAAAGGGGTGTCAGAGTTACGCTCGGAACTGTGGGAGAAAGAGCGCAAGCTGACGGACATCCGTTTGGAGGCGCTGAGCTCCGCCCATCAGCTGGAGCAGCTGCAGGAGGCCATGACCAACATGCAGGTGTGTGTGTGTGTGTTTGAGAGACACTGTACAGGTGAATACAAATTCATGAGCGGGCTTATATTTGACTGTAAAACTGATTTCACGCCTCAGATTTTGATTGGTCGTCTACATGAGGGTTTTGTGAAATTGCTTTTGGCTGCAAATAAAAATATGTAAAATTAAATTAACTACTAATAATAATAATTTTCAATTATAATGAATATATTTAAATGTATTATTATTGTTATTATTATTATATTGGTGTACTGGTTAGTTATTAATAAAAATAATAATAAATAAATAAGTGCTATATTTAAATATATTATTATTATATTAATATGTACAATTTAATTAATAGTAACAGTAATCAAAAAATTATTTAAAATTCTTCTGTATGTGTTTAAAATTATTACTTTTGTTATTGTTATTATTTAGGTGTACTGGTTAGTTATTAATAAGGCACACTGGTTAATAATAATAATAAAACTGACATTAAATGTGTAATACTTAAATGGGTTTCTTCATTTAAATCCCTTAACAAATGCATTGACAGATGACGGTGGAAAACCTGAAGGCGGAGAATGACCAGCTGAAGACGAGCGGCCCCTCCTCCAGACCGCCGAGCTCCACCTCCCAGTCCTCTGGGCTCGGTTCATTGGGCGTCTCATCACCACGGCAATCGGTGTCATCTTTCAGCAAAACCGGCATGGGACAAAATGAGCCTTACCCAGGTCACACATTTACACACGGAGATTTCATGCATAAAATGTGGAGATCTCACATCCAAACGCTCTTGAATTCTACACTTTCTCACTGTAGTTTCTGTTCGTCTCTCACAGATGTCTTTCAAAGCCCCACCACGACATTGCAGAAGGACGAAAGTCTCGTCAGAGTGTTGGTTCGCATACCCAATCAGCACCTATTCAAAGACGTGAGTGCTTTACACCACCATCTTCATCCTGATGAGTCAGCTGATCAAACGGATAGTTCTGATTCTAAACTCTGACTTGTATTATTTTTATTCAGTATATTATATATTATATATATTAGCCTATTTATAAATATTTTGAATTAGCTTTTATTTTTATATTTTACATATATTACATTTACATATTATACTCCAACTTAAAATTATTTTATTTCAGTTACTCGTCAAGACTGTTTTTAAGTTTTTTTTTATTTAATATTTGTTTTATTTCAGCTATATTTAAGTTAACAAAAATATTATTAAATTATACCGTTTTATATTTTTTTATTTATATTGTTGTTTGTTATATTTGTAATATTTTAAAATAATCTTTAATAAAACAAAGAAAATATTACTATTTAATAATTACTTTTTTATATTTAAAAATTAAAATGAATATTGAATGTAATTAAAAAATATATATATTGAATAATTAATAATTAATTGTAATTTATATGTTGTTTCACAACTACAAAAAACCTGATCTACTTTAAATTTTTAAAGCTCATTTGAAAGTGTCTCATTCATAGGAGGTGAAACAGCTGGAGTTTTTCATTGGTACGGTTAAAATCAGCGGACGGACCGAGTGGTTTTCTCTGGACTCTGTAGTTATCCAGGCTTTTAAAGTAAGTGCCCTCTGCAGTCTTCTGAGGGACAGAAACATCCACACATTTAGACACAAAATAAATCACACTTTGAGAATGTGCTGTCACCGTGTGCCTGTAGGAGTATTTAGCGGTGTTGGAGCCCGGCTCCAGTCTCGGTCTCTCTCAGGACTCCATCTACAGCTACAGCTTAAGCCATGTGAAGAGGGTTCTGGGAGCGCAGCCGCCCGAGACGCCTCCTGTGCGCCTCTACAGCAAAGGCTCCTCCTGCATCAGCGTGACACTGAAAGGTCAGTGTGTTGAGGCTGCTGGATAACAGTGGAACCGTACATGTACATGTCCAACTCTAATCTTGTACTGTAGGTATGAGTCACCTCAAGCCATACACTTAATACTGTTTAATGAACACAACTGAAATGTGAACATGTCATGTACATCATCAATTTTATTATTAATATTACTTTTACATATTTTATATTATTTTTTTTTTATTATTATATTATTTTTATTTCTATATTTTACATTAAATAAATGCTTAATTGTGGACAATATTATGCTTTATTTCCCGCATCTGAAATTCCTTCCTTTTGCAGTTACAATTTCTAACAGCGCTCAAACACTTTCAAGTTGTTTTACTGTCCGTAAGCTAGTAAATGCTCTTGACACAATTTTTCAGTATTTTTCCATATAAACTGTAAGCCATTATTTTCAGATTTCCATCTTCAATAACCATCAACAAACAATGCTAACACCCACAGGCAGCGCTGCAGTGTGAATGAGGTATTTTCATAACTCAGATCCCCAGAGAAGAGCAATATAGCGCTAATGTTTCTGACTGTAACGGCAGCCAGCAGGAGGTGTGATTAAACAGCAGATCCACAATCCCATCATTCCTGAGCTCTCAGTCTGATATATGACCCAGGGAATCGGGGCCGTTACCCAGACTCCTCTGAGCTTGGTCTAGGTGTTATTTTAAGCACAGGCTGCAATTCAGAGTTGTTTATTGAGGTGGTGTGATGCTATAGACCACCCAGACTAAAGAAAACACACTCATTTGCCTATTCTCTCTCTCTCGAAGAAGAAGAAAATGTGTTCCCTCTTTTCTGGGTGTAATTTCTTCCTGTACTGCATTTAAAAAATACTTTACATACACTCTTAAGATTTAAAAAATAGCCTACATCTTTAATCAGAAGCATTAAAACATGTCTTACAGATTAGTAGTTTAATTATAATTATCAGTCTGAATAGGGTGACATTATAAGCATATAATGCAATGGTGTATTTTTTCCCATTGATACTGTACATTTAACTATTATTTCTATTGGACATTATATTGTTTTGATGCTTGATATCACTTGTGAAATTGAAAACAGCATGCAAAATATTTGATTGATCAAGAATCAATCAAAAAATATAATTATGATAATCAACATAGCAGCTATAATAATAAAAAAGTGGTTATTTGTTTGAGCCAAAAGGTTCCTTGATTTTTACAGTGGATAAAATTGTATTTATATTTATATACATTGTGGTTATTTCTAATATAGATTTAATAATATAAATTTAAGCATAAAAATTATATCTTTAAAGCTTGTTAATATTCCTACACACATATATATATATAGGGGTTATTCTACTACTGTATATTAAAAAGTCACAATAAACCTAGCTTACTATTGAAACTCAGCAAAGTGCTTGTAAATGTCAGTCATTTGTTGCTTTGGATAAAAGCATCTATAAGACTAGTTAATGTAAATGTATCGTAAAACATGTTATCTGTATTGTACTGTTTCCCCTGAATGCAGGACTGAAGGAGAAGTGTGTGGACGTTCTGGTGTTTGAGTCGCTCATCCCCAAGCCCATGATGCAGCATTACATCAGTCTGCTGCTCAAGCACCGGCGCTTGATCTTATCGGGCCCCAGCGGCACAGGGAAGACCTACCTCACCAACCGCCTCGCCGAGTACCTGGTGGAGCGCAGCGCTCGAGAGGTTACACCCGCCATCACCACCACCTTCAACATGCACCGCCAGTCCTGCAAGGTACACAGACAAGATATTCACATTCAGAGGTCTTATTTTTATTAGATTAGAACACAACTTGAACTGAATTGAGCTGGATAACGGCTCTTTGATCTTCTGTAGAGCTTTTTTACAGCTGAAATTGAAGTCATTTTACAACTGATGAACTTTGATGACACTGTTATTGAACTAAATTGAATCAACATTGAACTAAATTGAGCTGAATAATGAAAAGCTTTATATTTCAGATAAATGCTTGTTCTTTTGAACTGTGTTTATCGTAGAATCCTGAAAAAAGTTTTCAGCATCAATAATAATCACAAATGTTTCTTAAGCAACAAAATAGCTTATTAGAAGGATCATGTGACACTTAAGACTGGAGTAATGATGCTGAAAATTCAGTGTTGCGTCACAGGAATAAATTACAATTAAAAATATATTCAAATGCAAAACAGTTATTTGAAATTGTAAAAATATTTCACAATATTACTGTTTTTGCTGTATTTTGGATAAAATAAATGCAGGCTTGGTGAGCAGATGTCATTTATAATTATATTAAAAACACAAATATTAATATATTTTGTAATATACATAAATAACAAAACACTTAAACCATAATGAACCCCTGTCTAGCTCTTGAAACGTGCCTTTGTGAGTAGTGAGACTTACAGTATGATTAAAATTATAGCTATTGTTTCATAATTGATGAACTTTGCAGAATTGACAGTGTTATTGAACTAAATTAAATTAACACTGAACTGAATTGAGCTGCAAAATCACACTGTTGTCTTCTGTAGAGCTGAATATTGTGCCAATTTCTATTATTAGAAGACATTATTATAAAAGTTATTATAAAGATAGATTATTATAAAGATATAATTTTTTTAATGAGCAATACACAATTGTCATAATGAATAAATGAATTGGTAAATGAATTATGACACTGTTGTCTTCTGTACAGCTAATTTACAGCTGAAATTTATTTTATTAATTTTTTTTGCAATTAATAATTTTGTATTTTGCAAAATTGCCACTGTTATTTTCTTGTTTGTTACTGTGAATCTGCTTTAAAACAGTGTTGCATAAAGTGCTATATAAATAAATGTGATTCGACTTGACCTGACGTAACCTCTGACTGTGTGTTTGTCTTTTTATCCCAACAGGACCTCCAGCTCTATCTGGCCAATCTGGCCAATCAGATCGATCGGGAGAGCAGCACAGCTGAGATCCCGTTGGTTGTCATCTTGGATGATGTGCATGATGCAACATCCCTCAGTGAACTTGTTAATGGTGCTTTAACCTGCAAATATCATAAATGGTGAGTCTAGGAAAGTCTACACCAAAAATGACAAGTGGGTTTCCCAGTCATCTTAAAGGTGTCAAGAGCTGTTTTGTTTTCTTTCTCAGTCCATATATAATAGGGACAACCAATCAGCCAGTGAAGATGACCCCTAACCATGACCTACACCTCAGCTTCAGGTTGGTCAGTGCTAACATACACAAGGTCCTTTTAGCTTCCTGTCGAGTGTCAGTGAGGAACAGCTGGGACGTGTTGCCCCTCCTGCTTTTGTTTTCATTGTCGCTTTGGGTGACACTAACATGTGCTTGCCTTTTCACTCCCTATATATTGCAAAAGGATGCCTAATTTTCATATTTTATAGTGTTAAAATTTACTGTATGGCCTAACTCACGTTTTCAACAAATAATGACAAACCACAGTTCTAAGCATAGAAGTGCTAGTTTTCGCTTGTCTCTTTTTTCAAACATAAAATATAACAAATATCAAATAATGTCACTATAAATAAAAGTTACATGTCCATTTGGTCATTTATTTGACAAATAGTCATGATAAGCAGGGTAATATACAGTCAGCTGGTCATTATTACAAAAAAAAAAAGCTCTTCAGGATAATATAAGACCTTCATCAATGTGTTTGGGGTTTATTTTTACACAATGACTGGCTGACTGTACATTAACTTTTATACAGTATTTTTACACACACATTTATGATATAATAGGGTTTAATGTTAGCAAAAGAGATATACACAGATTTGTTGAAATGAATATTGTTTGTGAAATATTTACTCAAACAATTTAAATGTAATTTATTCCTGTGATCAAATCATCATCAGTCTTCAGTGTCACATGATCCTTCAGAAATCATTCTAATATGCTGATTTGTTGCTTAAGAAGCGTTTCTTCTTTTTGGTGAAAACAGTTGCTCTTTACTGTTTTTGTGGACATCTCAGTTTTTCAGGATTTTGTGATGAATAGAAAGTACAAAAGAACAGCATTTACTTACAATAGAATTTTTTTGGCACATTATAAATGCCTTTACTCTCACTTTTCATCAATTTAATGCATCCTTGCTGGATAAAACTATTAATTAAATAAAAAATGCTGACCCCAAACTTTTTGAATGGTCCTCTATTTATCAGTTTTCATATTTGTTTTACCATGTTTCCTTTATACAGGATGGTGATGTTTTCCAATAACGTCGAACCAGCAAACGGATTCCTGGTACGTTACCTGCACAGAAAGCTAATGGAGGCTGAAGATCCCAGGAGTGTGAAGAATGAAGATCTGCTGCGGGTGCTGGACTGGGTGCCCGGACTCTGGTACCACCTTCACACCTTCCTGGAGAAACACAGCACCTCTGACAAATCATCATCAGTCTTCAGTGTCACATGATCCTTCAGAAATCATTCTAATATGCTGATTTGTTGCTTAAAAGCGTTTCTTCTTTTTGTTGAAAACAGTTGCTCTTTACTGTTTTTGTGGACATCTCAGTTTTTCAGGATTTTGTGATGAATAGAAAGTACAAAAGAACAGCATTTACTTACAATTGAATTTTTTTGGCACATTATAAATGCCTTTACTCTCACTTTTCATCAATTTAATGCATCCTTGCTGGATAAAACTATTAATTAAATAAAAAATGCTGACCCCAAACTTTTTGAATGGTCCTCTATTTATCAGTTTTCATATTTGTTTTACCATGTTTCCTTTATACAGGATGGTGATGTTTTCCAATAACGTCGAACCAGCAAACGGATTCCTGGTACGTTACCTGCACAGAAAGCTAATGGAGGCTGAAGATCCCAGGAGTGTGAAGAATGAAGATCTGCTGCGGGTGCTGGACTGGGTGCCCGGACTCTGGTACCACCTTCACACCTTCCTGGAGAAACACAGCACCTCTGATTTCCTCATTGGTAATTTTAATTTTTTACATCGGCACCATATTGGATGAGAATGAGGAGGCAATTTTTTAAATAACCAGCTTGATGTGCCTAATTCAGGGAGTATTTCATCTATGTGTGTCCAATCTGTGTTGCCGTAGGTCCCTGCTTCTTCTTGTCCTGTCCAGTAACTGTAGAGGAATTCCGCACGTGGTTTATCGATCTTTGGAATCACTCAATCATCCCGTACCTGCAGGAAGGAGCCAAAGATGGCCTTAAGGTGGGTCAAAGTATCCCAAACTTGAAGATAAATTTAACCTGTCGGTCAGAATGCCGCTTCCTAACTGTTCAAGTGAGCAGTTTTTGGTTGAATCAGTGTAAATATGTGTGTCTGCAGGTTCACGGGCAGAAGTCGGTGTGGGAGGATCCGGTGGAGTGGGTCAGAGGATCTCTGCCCTGGCCGTCTGCTCAGCAAGACCAGGCCAAACTCTTCCACCTGCCTCCCCCGAGCACAGGCCCCTGCAGCCCCAGCCAGCCAGGAGACGATCGGCCACATAAAGAGACGCCGCCCAGCTCCATCGAGTCAGATCCACTGGTCAGTGTGTACACACAGTATATAATAAATATACACAGTACACATATATTATTTAAACAAAGACTTTTATTTTGGATGCGATTAATCTCGATTAATCGTTTGACAGCACTAACATTTATATATATATATATATATATATATATACATATATATAAAAACTGCAAAGATTATGGTGTGATATTAAACATATATGAAGGGCCAAAGTAATTATATGAAATCTGAATATATATATATATACACAGTGCCTTGCGAAAGTTTTCATACCCTTTCATTTTTGTCACGTTTTGTTATGTTGCTGCCTTATGTTAAATTGCTTTAAATTACTTTTTTTCCCACATCATTCTACACTCCATACACCATAATGGCAAAGCAAAAAAACAGGCTTTTAACATCTTTGCAAATTTATTAAAAATAAAAAACTTAAATGATTCCATTGCATAAGTATTCAAACCCTTATCTGGGACAAGTTGAAATTTAGCTCAGGAGCATTCATATTGCTTGTAGATGTTACTACACTTCGAGTGAAGTTAACCTGTGGCAAGTTCAATTGAATGGGTATGATTTGGAAAGGCGCACGACTTAATAAAAGGTCTAACAGCTAAAAATACATATCAGAGCAAAAACTAAGCCCTGAGGTCAAAAGAACTGCCTGTAGAGCTCAGAAACAGGATTGCATCAAACCACACATCTGGGGAAGAGTTCAGAAAAAATTCTGCTGCATTGAAGGTTCACAGAATCACGTAGCCTCCATTATCCATAATGGAAGACATTTGGAACAACTAGAACTCTTCCTAGAGCTGGCCTCCTGGCCAAACTGAGGGCTTTGTCTATACTGGTGACCAAGAAGCTGATGGTCACTCTTGTTGAGCTCCATGATCATATATGCAGATGGGAGAAACCTAGAGAAGGACAAACACCACTGCAACACTCCACCGATCTGGGCTTTATGGCGGTGTGGCCAAACTCAATCCTCTCTTCAGTGAAGACACAAAAAAGCATCTAAAAGACCCTCAGACTGTGAGAATCAAGATTCTCTGGTCTGATGAACCTCAATTCCAAGCATCATGTTTGAAGGAAACCAGGCACTGCTCATCACCTGCAGAGTAGCATCCCAAAAGTAAAGTGTGCTGGTAGCAGCCTCATGCTGTGGGGCTGTTTTTCAATGGCAGGGACTGAGGGACACATCAGAGTAGAAGAAAAGCTCAATGCACCAAAATACTAAGATAGCCTTAAAGAAATCCCAGTCCAGAGCATTCAGAACCTCAGACTGGGCAGAAGGTTCACCTTCCAACAGGACAACGACCCTAAGCACACAGCAAGTCTCAAATAAAATAAATAACTCAATTATAGACAACTCTGTGAATGTCCTTGAGTGGCTCAGCCCGAGACTGGGCTTGAACCCAATCAAATATTTCTGGAGAAACCTGAGAATGTGAGTCTGCCCCATCCAACCTGACAGAGCTTGAGAGGTGAAGAAGTGAGGTGAAGAATGGCAGATAATTGCCAAATGATAATGTGCAAATCTTGACGCATCATACCCAAAAGGACTTGAGACTGTAAAGGTGCTTCAGCTAAGTACTGAGTTAATACTTATGCAATGTACTTATTTCAGTTTTTTTACTTCTAATAAACTTACGAAGATGTGACAGTTCTGTTCTTGCGTTGTCATTATGGTGTATGGAGTGTAGATTGATGTGGAAAAAAATTAATAGCAAGCAGTTTAACATAAGGCTGCAACATAACAAAACGTGAAATAAACTAACTGTAAATATTCAGATTTACATTTATGTTCATATTTGTATCTGTACTTAATATGAAGCAATTCGTTCTTGACAATTTTAATAGACTTTACTAATTAAAATTTGATGTATTTTTTATAACATAAACATTTTTATCAGAACACAAGTATTTTTGTGGTGACATTGGAAATCTAAATTTAATATAAAGCTTTTTTTTTCACAGGCAAAAAAATACAACTATATGAGTTATATAGTATAATTAACTTTAATATATGCACAATTCAAACCTTTGTTCGTTCCTTAGTGGATAAACATTCATTAAAACGAGTTAGTACTAAATATATATTTAATGGCTTCCCCATATCAGTGCACAAGAGAAATATCTCATTATTTTCTCGTTCCTGTAATCTCTGCTCCTTTCCCAGATGGCTATGCTGTTAAAACTACAAGAGGCTGCCAATTACATCGAGTCACCAGAGAAAGAAACCGATCCAAAACTCCCTCCTCTCTGAACATCTCCATCTCTCCTGCCGCCCATGTCCAGGTCCAAACTCCGTCACCTGCAGATGACACTGTACTGTTACTATAAATGCTGTTAGTGCATTTCACCCACTCTTTTATTATAATATTCATCCCACCTTGTTTATTTCAGTGGAATGTCCCTTACAGAAAAGTACTGTGGTAATACCGTGGTACCCTCTCATATGGGTAGTTGACTTGTTCTGCAGTATGACATGCTATACGACCATTTTAAACAGCATTTTGCTCTTTTAAAGTTATTATGCATGCTGCATGCATACTAATGAATGAGCTCCTATGAATCGTAAGACTACATAGGGTATTTGTACTTGTAAAAATGGATTTGTTGCACCTCAGGACCTTTAAAATGAACTAGTGACGGCAAAAATAGTGGTTAAAATGGTAGAAAAACTTCAGGAAGAAATGGTGACCCATTACAGCACATAAAACGTCTCAGGTTACATATGTAACCATGGTTCCCTGAGTAGGGAACGAGACACTGCATCCTCTAGTATCCGCGATCTCTATCTTTCTGTCGTCGCTCGGCTCAGCTAATGTCTGTCCTGCGCTCTCTCCTCCACATCATGAGTAGACACGCCCCTTACTGCTCACGACGAGGTGTTCCCCATAGCGACCCCTAGAGGACGCAGTTCGAAGTTCCCATGAAAGGGAACTACACTTTTCTGTATACGTTCATTTATTTAAACCTTTACAAAATAGTTGAAATATTGGTGGTGATCCTTAAAACTATCCATATACCGTGGTGCTGAGTAAATAACATGGTATTATCATGGTAATACCACCACAGCTGGTTCATCCATGGTGATTTTTTGTTTTTACCATGGTACTTTTATGTAAGGGCTTGCAAAAACAATATTTTGTCATGAAATGTAACTCTTTCTCCTAAAACAAATGATGAAAAGGATCGTTTTATAGCACTTCTATCTGCATATTTCTGTTTACGGATGCTTTAGTACGTTTGTAATTCTCTTTGCTGTAACTTTTACTGTTCCACTGCTGCCCGTATTAACAACTCAACGATACAGGTGCTAAAATCGCTAGTGTGCGCGCGTTACTTCATCTCGTGGTAATGAATAAGAGCCAACATGGGAGATACTGGGAAATCTTATGTCTCACTTAATAATGTAACACTTTACAGGCCACTTTAGCCTATGCTGCTTTTTGTACGCTTCATTTCTTTTGAATATGGCCACAGCATAAGCTAGTTTAACCCCAGAAACACTTATGCAGACTGCATTACACCTTCTTCCTCTTTCTAACACAGTGAATGCCTTACAACAGATTCTAAGTGTGCTATCATGTTCCCTTTTCACTCTGTAGGGGGCAGAGTTAAGCAAAGTTCAGAAATGAACTTTCATGAAATGAATCTGAATTAAATCGGAAACGAACAGAATCCGTGTATCATTCGATCATTCGTTTTTTGATTTAATATTGAAAGTAGAAAAATGCTCCTTTTTCGTTTTTTTGTTTTTTTCCAAAAAACCAGGATGTCGGATTGGATTTTGATTTCAAATAAAAGTGAGAGGAATTTACTGAATTGCAATTCAAAAAAAATCTTGATGGATTGTGGTTTGTAGAAAACAGTTGAATGATAATTTCAACTTTAAAACTGTAATGTAGTATTAAACATGCAGTCTTTGAATTTCATTCCATTCTAATTCTAATTCCTAAAACTTAAATTGAAAGTATGATTCTGCATCCTGTTTCAAAAGGCGCTTAACCCTGATCAACTGAAGCTTGTGTTTCCTCAAAAGTTCCCACAGTACACTAAAGCACCTCAGTAACACGCTGTAAAGATAATTTGCATTCGGAGAGACGTCCCGACCACAAACTGACCATTTTTGTGCACTTCGATTTACTGTAATGATACTGTAGAGACGTTTTACTTGGCTTTGACACTGATCTCAGCTCAGGGGTTTGGTTATCTCAGGCCTCTAATTAGATTCAATACAGCTACTTTCTCAGTTACTGCTCTCTTTGTAGCAAATGGTGCAAATGTAGAAAACCAAATACTCAGTGCTTTATTCAGTATGAGCCTTTTATTTGAAGTACTAGAGATGATCACCCCAATAAAGTGCACACGGATGCGAAGACGAAGATTATGTTTGATTATTTGGTGCTATTCTGTATAACTATTGGAAAACATGACTTGGGTTAGCAAAAATCTCACTTGACATCCAATAGCCTTAGTCTTGTGGCATTTAAGGGCATCTTTAGGTACAACCAAGTATTTATACAATCCTTCTAGTTGTAGTTTTAGAGCTGTAAGCATCAAGTTTCTTTAGACGTAGTTTAAACATCGCACTAAAAGTCCACTTCAAAGTAAATCAACCTCCTAATGGTAGTCTAAAAACATATCAAACCGCACAGCATTTCTCTGAAGCTTACGATGAATATCAAAGTCGGCAGTTCTGTTGAGCACTAACGAGAGTAGTGTACACTACATCCATACGTCCTCAGCGCTCACACAGAAGAGGATTCGCTCACAGAAAGCAGTGGTGGACCAGTAATTTCCCATCTCTGTACCTGAAACTAGTATCCAAACATACATGTACTGTAGGTAAAATCTAGGCTATTAAAGTTAAAATCTAACTCGTTCCTTTCTATTCATCTATACTGCATTATCATTACTCTACACAGTGTAAATATGATTTTGTAGTTCCTTCTCCAAGAAATGAGGGATTGTGGAGTTTATTAGCCAAATAGAGAGAGACTCGTAATGTTCAAGATGGCAAAATGATTTAGTTATTTTAGCCTCCTTCAGTTGCGCTGCTGCTGCTTCAAGTCTAATGTGTGACTTTTATATTTGATTACATTCCAGGCATAAGACAGTGTGTCAATGGCTTTTGTTGCTTATCTGCTGAAGATCCTAGTTGGCCATTTGCAGTTTCATTTTATATCAATAAATGCTACTGCAACAAAATATTACATTTCATAACCGCAGCATGTCGGTGAATTACCACTGATATTGAATCTGGATCAGCAAATAAAGCTAATCATTGAGGGAATAAATCTCATTCCGTTTTTACGTGAGTGGTTTCATTGTCAGCAGCTATTCTTTGTTTTAAAAAGACGTTTATTAGTGTGACTAAAGCCGCTGTACACTGTCTGCATCATGTTCCTGGTTATTGTGCCTGTGACTGTGTGATAGCTGTGCTGTGTTGTGCAAAGTCCCATTTAATGCGACAATTCAGCAACTTTTTACCGTCTACTTTGTCTGTCCTGGAATGGTAGCGACAGCACATGGATGGTGACTGGTAAAAATGGATTTTTACATTGATTTCACTGTCTCTGTCGCTCATAAGCTTTGGTTTGTGTCTGCTTCTGTTGCTGTTTTCACTCTTTAATGCACCTTTTTATGTGGACTATATTGTTGCAATAATTTGTCATGTGTGTTAAACAGAGTCAGGAACTCTATTGATAAAGACTTCGGGTGATTGTATGCCTTGATGGGGCTGTCTTGAGGTCAGGGTCAAGTGAATGAGAACCTACAGTATATCAGGTGGTGTGGTTTTATGTAAAGTATTTCAAAGAGGACCAATGAAAAATATAAAGATAATATTACAGATACAAAGTGGTGAGAAGTTGCTGAATAGTCCCTTCACTTCATGCAATGCTTGATATTGATTCGAAAGTCCAATACTATTGCATAAAAGGTAATATGACGGTAGAAGATGTAAGTTACAATATGCAATGGGTTTCTAAATGTCGTAAACGCATGTTACCTTAGTGTGAAGCAGAATTACGGATGTGTTCTACCTAATTCGGGGTCATATAAAAGGAATGATATTAGTTTCTTTTTGTTGTAATGTTCCCCCAAATGATTGTTTGTATGACTTCATTTCCATTTTGTACAGAACGTTATAAATGTAAACATTGTACATAGCGTGGCCCTGCATTTGCAACAACAATCATTTAAGAAAAAAACATAATGTCATTAAGAAATGTGGTTTGTAAGGAAGACGTGTGCTTTTGTTACCGATGGAGTGGCCCAGTACACAAAAACTGGCATGCTTCGGATGTTCGTAATATGACCACCAAGACGTTGTCCATCTGTCATAATAAAACCACAACGTTCGTTAACTGTGTTCTTTGTTGTGTCTTATGTTTTCACGTGCTTTGAAGTATGCGGAGTAAAAATGTGTTTAGTGTTAACTTTTAAACTACCTTTGTTCCTTACCTTAAACATGAAGGCTTATGTAATTTGTGGAATTAAATCAGTTTAGTATGTACTTAATTTTCTGCAAAATATAATTTTTATTATTTGTAATCTACCGTTTGCCATTACTAGTCTTCCTTGTGCAATTTATGTAGGCTACTTAATTGTATTTGTTTCCCAAATGACGCACTATACACTATGCACTTATGCATTGTGTACTTATTCACTATGTACTCAACCATGTAGTGTATGAATTATATAAGGTTACTTTGTCATTCATAAACTGAGTCTGATAGCCCCTCCCTCTTCACTACATAGGCTAATTAAAGCTGCTACAGTTGAGTGCATGAAGTGTTCAACATTCCACACTTCAGGTGCATCCCAAATCACGTAGGCTACTTAAGCACTATTCTATGACGTTTTGTAGTATAAATAGTGTGAGTATTGTGTTTACGCTGAAAATTCCAAAAAGAAAAATTGCACTTTAAATACCTGGATGATGCACTTAAATAAGTAATAAAGTGTGGAATGTTGAACACTTCATGCACTCAACTGTAGCAGCTTTAATTAGGTAGCAAAGGGGGAGGGGCTACTTTATATAATTCATACACTATATGGTTGAGTACATAGTTTATAAGTGCAGTTTTCGGTTATTTAAGTGCATCATCCGGGTATTTAAAGGCACAATATGTACGTTTTTTTATTAAAATATCCAAAAACCACTAGAACAGTGTTATATATTTTGCTGACTGGTGTACTTACATTATCCCAAATGTTTCGAAGAATGTTTAAATCCAGAGAAATAAGCAGTTTTAACTAGTGACACGGACCGTGTCCATAGTGTCATTGTGTCGCCTGCCAAAGGTACTGAGTGTGTACGGAGACCCCAAACTAAATGCATTGATCTTAAAAAGTGCATTCTAAATGGATACTTTTATTGGATTAATATCTTTAAGAAAGAGCATAGATTTTCTTAAAAGAGTCAAATCAG